GGCTTAAAGGTAGGCTGGGGGGGGGAAGGGGGGGGTAGTCGAACATATTGATTCATCAAGCTCGTCTTGCCGACACCGCTATCTCCAAGGATGATAACCTGCATCTCGTCAATGTCCGTCTGTACACCAAAGCTTCAACATCACCAAGGAGCCCATCCGGCCATACCTTGAGGAGGACCTTCTTCCGCGAAGACATGTTCGCAGCTGGGGTGTATGGACACTAGTGGTGAGGATGTAGGAGTCGTCAATGACGTGATGGACGAGGAGCGTTTCAGCGTTCACGCGGCGAGGGGGCAAAGCAGCTCGGGAGCTCGTCTCGATTGGGGATTAGGCGGCTGTTGAGTAGGTGTGCTCCTTTCGCAGCAGGTACAATGGAATAAAGGTATTGGGGTAGGTTTACGGAGAGGCCAGGCGTCGATGAGCACGAGACCCTGCAGCAAGGCGGTAACTTGATGCGAATGCGTGTGAGAGGAGTGGTGGAGGAGTGGTTGTTTGAGGCGGCGACTGGACACTGAGGCCGGCGGTGGAAGGTGGATGGACCAGTCAAGTAGCTGGAGTCGACGCAGTAATGACTGCAACCACTGGTTAATTTTATGGAGGACAGGGGTCTGCCGTCGGTTCTTATTACGACCTAGGCAAGGTAAGTAAAGGTCTGGTCAACTCCTTGTCCGTTGATTGCCCACCAAGGTGCAGTCTGTCTGGTGGCTGGTGCCTTAGATGGAACCCGTGTGACCCATGCAGTGGATTATTAGTGCCGCCACCAAAGTGACATCAACTTCCACTCTAGCTAAACCCGGCGCGTGCACCATCCGGTCTGCTACAGTCCACGAATTGACAACGACGATGAACGACAACAGCATCCAAAAACCTACCCGACACCACTGAGCCGGCGTCGAAGCTCCCTCTGATCGTCATGAATTCTTCATAGCACCAACCATGGCCTCCACCACCTCACCCATCGTCTCCAAAATCCTCCATCTATCAGACCTCGAGCTTGCCCTCCTCCTCTGTCTCGTCTCCCGCGAACACGGCATAATAACCACTCCCTCCGCCTGTCTATCTCTCCTCACCACCGAACTTAGCCTCGTAGCAACTCGTACTTTCGGGCTTACCTGCTCCATCATTGACTGTACGCCCTCCACAACCCTCGACGACTTCGCATCCGCTCTCCTCCTGCCTCCCAAATCCGCCCAACAACCCCAACAACCGGATTACTTTGTCCACAGCCCACAGCGAAGCGTACACGCGTCTCCGCTCTCGCCAAGCTCTCAAATCGCAAACTGCATCCTCGCCAAGAATCTTAACCTCGCGCCCAAGTCTGTCCAGATCCAGGCCCTCGAATTACTTCGTACGCGACGCATATTTACACGGACTTCGGTACAGATTGCCCCCAAGCAGTTCATCTTTATACCCGTGTTGGAAGCAGAGGCTCCTGGAAAAGGAGAGCGAGTGACTTCACATCTGAATGACTTCTTTTCGTTGGCGCATTGGCATGATCCTGACGAGGGGTTTGTGAATATTGACGAGGAAGATGAGGCCGATGAGGTGGAGCGGGGATTTGCGGGGGGTGTGAATAGACGGGATGGTAGTCATTCGGCCTTGATACCAGAGAGCGTATGGTTTGCTTCGCATCTCATCTTGATAGCAAGGTGCTAACAGCGCGTACAGGAAATCAGCCATCTCGCACAACTCAGTCAACAAGTCCAAGTCGACATCGAGGTGACCCGTTATCAAATGAATATTGTATCCTTCTTGCGCATGCACCGTGCCGTAGCAGACGGCATAACTCCCAATGCAACAAAACATCTCGACAAGTTGATGCGGTGTCTTGCCCCCCTTCACGGAGTAGACTTCGTGGCACCTGCACTTGTGGGTGTTGCTGTCAAGAAGGTATATTTACACCGGATACGAATCACATCTCCAGAGGATGAGCGTAGCATGCAATGGGGCAGCAAGTTGGAGGCTGTAGCGGCTATATTAGCAGACATGGGACCAGAGGAAGTGGTTGAAGATGTTTTAGGTATGGTGACGGCACCGATATGACGGTCCTGCTGGTATATTGGAAATTTCTATGATTCCTGTGGCGCCTCTTTTCGTTTACGATGGTCAGTTCGTTTGCAACTGTACCATCAAGATTTCCCACGATTTCCCACGATCTTGATTCTTGCCGCGATGATAACGGCCTTCTGATCACTTTTCCCCTTCGAAGCCCCCTGCCCGATTTTGAAATAAGACGTCATAGCCACTCTTCCATGGCCCATGTTGGAAAATAATTACACAATGATTAGAATGTTAAAAGACTTCATAAACGCCGTATCCGAAGCTCTTTCTATGAGATTTGCTTGATTTTGCATGACCATCCAGAGCCGGCCTCCAAGAGAGGCAAGCTACGCAGTGTTAGTACCAAATAAATTATCCTTCCCAGGGATATGTGACATACCTAGCACCCAGGCACCATCCCAGCTCGTTGCCCTTGATCTTCTTGGCAATCTTGACCTCTCTATCAATAGGCATGTCGTATCCGTGATGCAGAAGCACGGTCATGAAATTCAAGTCCAGACAGTACTGCTCACGACCCTTGAGCTCTTCAAGAGCACCGGGAACGCTGTCAAAAGTGCCCCAGCCCGTTTGGCCCTTGCAGACAGTCTGCGCTAGATCATGGAGCTCACGGATAGTAAAGGAGTCGGGCATGCCGAGGGGGTGGGTGCGGTCGTAAAAGTAAGAGAAGATATATACGTCCTCCTTGGCAAAGGTCTTTGCGAGAGATGGCTGGTGAACACCGTTGAACGAGCAGGGAGCGAGCTTACATTCCTTGTCCTTTTCGAGGATTCGTTCGGCGAGGCTGCGGCATTGAGAGGCGTGCGAAGCGGAGGGCTCGGCGGGACCAGTGAAGTTGTACGTCTTCTTGGTATCCTTGTCAAACTCGACTTCGATCTCGCGAGTGCGGCCGGGGGTAATGCAAGGGTGTACGATTGGCTTGGTTTGCCAGGTGGTGTCATCTACCTTGGACTTCTTCATGTCGTTTACAAGGAGCCGGTGAATAGCGTTGCGGGCCTCCATCAGACCATAGCCCAAGTGAGAATGCTGGTACAGTTCGAACTTCTGGCCGCCAAAGTCAAGAGAGAACTTGTGGTCGCCCTCGGCAAGCTTTTCAGGCATGCCACCAGCCTTGGCCGCCTTAAAGGTAGGCTGGAAAACAATCTGAGTCGAGCCGCCACCGAGATCGAAAACAGCAGCAGTCTCACTCTTATCGGGACCACCAATTTTGCCGAGAAGATAGTTGGTCGTGATCCATGCGTAGACACCCTCATCGGCGCCATCCATGACAGAAACGCCACCTTTTTCATCAGAGACAACGGGAAAAGGATAGACGTTCTCAAGATGTTCGCGCACTTGCTTGAGGATAGCGTCGGACTTCTGGGGTCCAACCTTGCGCAAACCGGCGGTGGCTTTGACAGCGACGGGGCTGCATCGCTTGAGCTTCTCGGGGACGTTCTCCATAGCGACAGCCATCAGGGGATCCAGAGTTTTGGCGGCGGCGATAGGGTCGTCGGCGTACTTGCTGAGACCCCCGACAGATTTTTCTGTCATCTTGAACTCTTCGCTCTCAAGCTCGGGAACGGGACCGCAGTTGTTGAACTTGTACACATGGATTCTGGAGCCGGTGCTGCCAGCATCAATCATGAGGACATACTGAACAATCGGCTTATCTTTGGAGTAGGACTTGGTACACCGAGTGGTTCCGTAGGATGAGTCGGTAGGCACCTGGCCATCGTTGGGTTTGTTGACGTCAGGGGTAGTGCTCGTGGTGCCGGTTTCGTGGCCGGTCTTGTGAGAGACTGCAAAAAGTCAAATCGTTAGCAGATGCTTTCCTGCTACCACAGAATAGTCCAATACGCACTCTCACTGTGGACGTCAACGCCTCTCGGCGACAGCCAGTAGAATAGCAGACAAACGGACAAGACAATCGCGGCAGTCTTGACCCATCGAGTCTTTTGCGACTGTGACATCCACTGTTCCTTCATCCTGGGCAAAACCCCCTGAGGACGACCGTTTCCGTATCGATCAGGTTTCTCGTGAGGGTCGTGAGCGATGTGTTTCGTCGGCAGTGAGACCGACTGTTTTCTCATGAGGGATGGTTTGCGTTGGTGGGACCCAAGTCCGTCTCGCCCTTCAATCGAGAAAGCGAGTAGCTTGACGCAAAAAATGGAACGATTGAAACGTGTGTAACGAGTGGCGCTTATGCCAGCTTAGGAAGAATAAGCCGCAGGCGATTTATTCAAGGGAACGAAACGGAGACAAAACGATAATCAATCGCTAGTTGAGAGGAGGGAAAAAGTGCCACGCAAGACGAAAATAGCTGGGGCGGGAAAAGGGATGACAGCCACACTTCCAATGACGGGTAGTTATGTGGATGGTTGACGGCGGCAATGATGGTGGGTAGGATAGAAGGGGAATGTTTCGGGGGGGTGGGGGAAAGGAGCTGTGGGTTGACGAATCAATGCACCCAGATGGCGAATGCGCAAATGCAAACCAGACTCCACCAGTTTGCCTCGACCCTTGCCCCAGCAACTAAAATGCCACTAGTACTCCGTACTCCTTTATCACTGAGGCTAGACTTTGAGTGGAATTGGGGCTTCAATATTCAATATAGCCTGGCACTAAGCCATCTCGAGGCGACAGCATTCCATACTCATAGTCGTGAACATGAATTGGTTCATGCCTTCCTCACGATATAACCTAACCGCTACGCTCTGAAACACTGCGAAAGCTGATCCGCTAAGTGTGGAAGGTCAGCGAAGTAGGCTGGGACGTCATCACCCAAGCGGAAATGCCAACTCGAGGTCCTATTCGTCAGTTGAAACGTCGTCATTTTTTTTTACACTGCGTGTGACAAAAAAGAATCATCCCCTCACTAAAAGTACAGCGTCTTACAACTCCCCATCACCCACTTCCTCATCTTCAACAACGAAATAGTCCTTGACTGTCACCTTGCCGCTCTTCACCTTCTCCCAAATCTCAGGCGTACAAGTTTCAGGCGCCAGGATGTAGCACTTGGGCTCGGGCGCCTCGGGAGGAGCCTGCTTAACGTGCCAGGTGTCCGGAGGGCCGACAGTCGACAACTCATCGTGTACAGGCAACAAGCCAGTGGGGATATCGCGGTTGAACAAGGCACGCATGAAGATTTCATAGGCAGCCTCGGGCTGATACATGGGGATCATGTGTCCAGCCTGATAGACACGGGTAAAGCTGAAGTTGCCAAACTGGCGGGTAAGTCCGCCCACGCCTTCAGACGTAATCAACGGGGTATACCCAGCCTTCTTGAAATCCTCTGCGCGCGAGTAAGGGATGGCAAGAGATGACATTTCTCCTCCGATCCAGTTGCAAGCGAAGTCGAGATCTCCATACATCATGTGCACCTTAACACCCGAATCGAGAAGGTAGCCAACTGCGTCCAAGAATCCGCCGTGAATCTCATCCAAGGTGGCGATAAAGTTCAGGGCGACGGTCTTTGATGACATGGTAAAGTTGACGGGACTGGCAAGGGCTCCAAGGGCCTTTTCTTGAGCGAGGTAGCCGATGTAGTGAGGAGGCGGGAATGGGTCATTCTTGGGGTGCGAGATGTCGAAACGAGCACTGTTGCTATTTTCGAAAGCCATTTCGCCGCTCATCACGCACGCATCTTCCATCTTTGGGCACAGTTTTGAGGGAAATTCTCGGGCCGCTCTGAGCGCATTCTTTTCGATGCCAACAAGCTCCTTCTGGCACTGAATGATTTGGTCACGACAACCACCTTCGCGAGTGAAGTTGTGCATCAGCCCATCATAGACGGTCTTGTTGATGACCTTGATGTCATAAGTCTATGAAATGTTAGTATATCCGTACACCACGGGTCGTTGGCGGTGCCAGACTGCGCCTACATTGTTAAAAGGGAAGATGATGGACGCTTCTTCCTGGAGAACGGCGTCAAGGTAGCCATTGACGATACCCAGAGTATCAAGATGAAGATAGTGTGCGTGTTCCACATCAATGGTTCCATTGAGAATCTTTTCATTCTGCTGCTGGAAGAAGCGCATGAATCCAGGCCCATAATGGCCGCCGTAGCTCTCAGCCCACATACTGATCCGGTCATCATTCGGCTTGTAATGAGGGAACTCGGTGAAGAAAGTCTGGGCAAAGTGCCACAACGCATGGGCAGCCTGCTGGGTGCTGTTGGTGGTGTGAGACGACTTTTGACTGGAAAGAGTGCCAATTCGTGTTGTAAGGTTGGTCTGAGGTGTTTCGGTCGAAAAGTTGGTAGGGACAATGATGGCCTCCTCACTGCCAGTATAGATGGTCACATTGGTGGGAATGTCGTATGAGAAGCCGACTTGGTTAGGCTCATCAATGTAGAGCATATTAACGTGGTTATTCCAGCTCCAAGGATTGTGGATTGTGGACTTGGAATCGTCGTCAATGAAACAAGGCCCGTTCTCGCCCAAAAGACCGATCATGGAAGAGCCACCAGGGCCCCCGTTGAGCCAAATGGCCAGCGGAGCATTTTCCGGTTCATGACGAGCCTCAAAAAACCAAAAGAAACTAAAAGTAATGAGATTCAATGCATTGAGTAGATGTGCAATTCTTATTACAAACTTACGTGTTGACGGGATAATCCTGCTTCTCCCCTGAGCCATCATCCAATAAACCTGGGGGGAGGTGGACGTGGCCAGCGTAGGATTTGACGCCCGGTGTGGACTCACAAAGCCCCGGCTGCAAAGTTTGCCGTCAGCAATATAACTGATTCATATGCAGAAGATAGGACCGGTCTCACCTCTTTGAATGAAATGGTCACGTTCTCGTGAAACTTGGATTTGATGACCTTGACGCCCTCGGAAGGGGGTGGGAACTGGGCGGCAGCCAGACTGGCCAGACCGCCAAGTAAGAGACCTGTAGAAAGCATCCTTCTTGTTTGTGGCTACATGAATTAACAGATTACAAAAATCATAGCGTGTGAAATCGAGACGAGGCTCAATGTTCCTTTTAATTGCCCAAGTCGAAGAAACTAGTGTCTTCATCCCGGAAGTCGTACCCCCGCTGTTTCAACGCCGCCATCCCCGCCCACCTTGTTGGCCACGATGAAAGCCCAACCTGGGGCGGCCACTGAGGTAAGTCGCTTCTGCACCTGCCCTTTAGGGAATGCTGCCGGGGATGGTACCCGATGGGCGTTTGCAGCGAGTAATTAAGTTAGTAAAAAGCAACCAACTACGCGGTATTAATAGCCTGGTAGCATGGACAGTGCTGGTCAAATACTAGTACCCGACTCTTCCCCCGAGATCATTGATGGTGATTTTCTGGACAGCACCCTTGGAGACTAACACTGCTTGTAATTCCCTCTTACACGCTCGGCCGCCGAAAATGGTCAGATTTTTTACCCAGACAATCAAAAAGTAGCCAGCCCAAGTTCAAGCAGACCTTCTCAGTGTGTCTGGAGGTGCACGTGACGAGACAGTTCCTGGGCGATGACCATGGCAAGCTCGGAGTTTTAAATCAATCGGAGTCGGAGTTGGAGCATTCAGATTTGGGCGCTAAACAGTGACACGTCCACTCCAGAGGCTTCGGGTCACGTACTCGATGTTGCCTGCGATTCAAACCCTCATATCAGCAGCCGCCTCCCGCGACACCCGCAAAGTCTACCAAAATGCATAGAGATTAACCAACCACAAGAAATAATTCAAAGGGCCTCATTATTTACCTGCCAGACGTCTGCTCCAACACCAAAACATGGATGTCCAACTGCTGGTATACGACCTCTCCCGCGGATTGGCCCGCCAAATGTCCATGGGCCTATTGGGCTTCCAACTCGATGCCATATACCACACCTCAATCCAGCTGAATGGCCGCGAGTACGTTTATGACGGCGGTATCATTGCCATCACACCGGGGTCATCTCACCTGGGTCAGCCATTGGAGAGGATTCACCTGGGGACCACCAATCTGCCGTTGGACATAATCGAGGAGTACCTGGATTCATTGCGGCCTGTATTCACATTAGAGGTAGGTCACAACTACAGCTGAAGCAGCAACGAATTCTCTGACTAGCATTGTCCAGGCATATGATCTCTTCCGTCACAATTGCAACAATTTCAGCGACTCCTTTGCCAACTTTCTCGTCGGCAAAGGCATTCCCAGTCATATCGTCAACATGCCACAGGCCGTACTAGATTCACCCATGGGCCGCATGTTAGTGCCTCAATTGGCTCAAGGAGTAAATGCAGGCCGATCAAATGGATCTATTCTCGGCCTGGAGCAAAGTGCTCAGGTTTCCAGCATCGGAACAAGGCCGCACCGAGTCGAGGTTGTGTCTAGATTGGACGAGCTCACGCGACTGCTAGACGGCGCAAGAGACTCGTGCGCCATAGTGTTTTTCACCTCTGCCACTTGCCCGCCATGCAAGATGATGTATCCGCTGTATGACCGGCTAGCAGAAGACTTTGGAAACCAAGCCACGTTTATCAAGGTCGACATCTCTCAACCCGACTCCATGAGTATTTCGCACAATTTCTCGGTCCGAGCAACACCAACCTTTGTTACCATGCTCAAAGGCAAGGAGGAGAATAGATGGAGCGGAGCTAGCCAAACAACTTTGCGAAATAACGTCCAACTTCTTGTACACATGGCGCATCCATCTCATCCGCACGAGAGTCTACGACTACCCAGCTTCTCCGACCCGAATTCCAGGCCTGTTCTCTATTCAAGGGTGCCCCCAATGGCAAAGTTGGAAGCGAAGATGGGCGACGTCGCCAAAAAACCGCAGATTCAAAAGCTCAAATTTTTCTTGGAAGCACGAAGTAACTTGGGTCCTCAAGATGCCATTCTTCCTGACCTTGAGGAGCTGTCAGATTGCATCCGGGAGTCGGTTTCGCAGCTTCTTCCCGAGGTTCTGTTCGCAATTATTGACCTCTTCCGATGTGCGCTTTCAGACCCTCGTGTAAGCGCCTACTCCTCCGAAGAAGCAGAACACAAAACCATCAAGACCGTCTTGAATTTCGTCAATAGTTTAGACTCTTGTCCATACGCCCTGCGCCTAGTAACAATTCAAATGGCATGCAACATGTTTTCCACGCCGCTATTTGCGCACGAAGTTCTACAGCATGCCAGTCTACGCTCTGCGCTCGTACAACTAGTGACCACCAGTTTCCTAGATAATGCCCACAACAACATACGAGTGGCGTCAGCATCACTCCTCTTCAACATTGCCCTGGCTAGCCGTCGAGAAAGACACGGAGCTTCTGGCGCCGGTCTCCCTGAAGAGGATCAAGTAGAGTTGGCTGCTGCGCTGCTCGAGGCTATCGCGCAGGAGGACAAATCGGTAGAAGCATTGCGGGGCATGCTGTCTGGTTTGGGCCATCTGGTGTTTGGCATCGGTTTGGGCGGCGAGCTGGCTGATCTTTTGAGAGCACTAGACGCGCAGGGCACCATATTGGCCAAGACGAAGCTGTTCCCCAACGAGCAGCTTATACTAGAAGTTGGAGAGGAGCTGCTGGGTAAAGGGTTACGGAAACCATAAGGATAGATGAGAGCACGAGTGGCGCGTTTGGGCGATGAATGTTTCACCAAGATGTTCTTTAGTCTGAATGGGCTTGCCAGACCTCAATTATTGTGTTACTCGGCGCGTGATCCTAGGCTGAATGTGTCGGTTTGGTATTCAGGAAGGAGTCACTCGTGTATGTGCCCAACGACCGCTTACCTCTTTTCTTCCCCTACATCTTGCGCATGCTGACAATTCTAAGCTTGCTGGCTGAACTCCTTCTACTTAAATTCTACACCGGAAAACACCTTATTCTATCAAGTTGATAGAAAAAAAAATCCAGCCAGATAATCATATAAGCAAGACATCTAATAACACTATATGCTGGCCGTACTTAGGCCAGGGAACCGCAATCAATCACGTAATATACCATAAATACACGCCTCATAATATATTAACATACTAATAAAATTAGTGATTTATCGCCGCGCGCCGGTTAAAGCTATCTCGCGATAGCCTTGACCACTGATTGCGTGAAGTAAAATATAGTTTATACCGGCGACTCACACCGTAAACTTAAACATGGACGCATAATATATATTAAGGGAGAGTTTATTTGGCCACCCCTTCCTATAGTAATAAGGTCTTGTCGGTGTTCCACAAGTCGGTCCTCTCTCTTTCTTTTCACCTCCAGTCTCTTCCAATATCAACAGCCCTTTGCAACTGCCAGTAGACATCGACACCTTATTCTATCTTCTGAACGCAAACGACACTTACAACCAGAGTTGGCCAGTCCAACGTCATGCTACCTAAATACGCAATCATCATGGCAAGCTATCTTGCCAACATGGCTCCCGCATATCCAGCCTCACGCGCCGCCAACGAGATAGAATACCCTTCGTGCGGAGGCCTCACGGACAAACCCCACGAGTGCAATACCCAGTCGGTATGCATAAATGACCCTCGAGAGCCTAACAGCTGCGGCATGGCCTGCGATATTCCTGGTATTTGTATACCCGGGAACACGGCAACTTGTCAGACAGGAAAAGAGACGTGCCCGCAGGGGCAAAAGTGTTTTGGAGATTTGAGGTTCAAGTGCAAGGGGAATAACTGTCACGGACTGTGCTTGTATCCAAAGGAGGATGGTTCCGTCTAAGGATTGAGGGGTTGAGTCTAGATTGAAGACGAGGCTTCGGGATAGACGCCACGATATCCTAAAAGGTTTTGCAACCTACGGAGAACAGTGGACCGTCCAACGTGGACTGGCTGGCACGTGTTTGTTTTGACCTTATGGGTATTAGTACTCAGCCTGCAAAAAATGCGAATTTTAGCTACATTTGAGCTGAACACTGTCCTGCACTTCAAAATCGTTTGGAAAAATACCACGCCTGAAATCAGCGGAATCAGGACGAGCACATACACTTGATTTGAGCCAATTGGATGGAGTGCGGAGCAGCATTTTCCAGTCCAGCCCCAGCGAACCAATCAGGGCAAGCTCATGGAATCCACCAACCAAGGGCAGCCTAGCGCGGTCCACATCCCATCTTTCTATATTTTCTCATGCATCCGCCAAAAGTTTTCTTCTCTTTTTCTTCCTTTTCCCTTCATCAAAAAGCTACCTGAGCTGCCACGACCTTCACCCAGACCTCCCACGGTGTCGCGTTGCCTCTCCCCAATGGGGAAGCGCTCAGAAGAGTAAAACCCTTGGATATAGGAAATTTTCCGCAACATCGTTTCCGGACGAAGCAGTAGGCGGAACAATGCCAAGAAGGGGGGACATCTCTTTCAACGTGATCCTTTTTGTAGACATGATGATGACTAGCGAATGTGCGACTGAGATTGGGCCACATTGTATGGACCTCGGCTTGCCGTCTTGAAACAAAATCCCAGGAAGGTCGGGCCGGTTTCTAGGAAATGCGAAATCCGCGTCGCATGCGTGGGAACAGTTCAATTGTTCGCGAAACACCTGATATTCATGTCTTTGAGAGGCGCGATGAATGACCGTGCTCAGTACATTCGCTCTAGCTGCACGCAAATCAATCCTGTGCTACTGCATTCAAACCGCCTCCTGGCATCTTGCTCCGATGCTGGTCTCGAACAAACTCTTCAATCTTGTGGTCGTGGTGAGGTCTCTGGCGGACCAGGGATTTCACGCCGTTCTTCTCTAGGCTTCTCCTTCGGCTCCAGGACCTTGCCTGCGGCTGGGATGAACTCGGCAACTACACTTGTTAGGCGACTTTTAAAGACTAGAAAGATGTACGGGAACACATTGCCTACTCTTTTCCACGATCGGATTCGGCTTTGGATCTTGGTCTCGCTCTCGCTGGTCCACAGCCGCCCTGTCCAGCTGGGTCTTGAAATTCTCTTGTTGGGAGTTGGAGTCGTTACTAGAAGCCATTTTGAACATTTTTGTCAACGTAGACTCTCTGTTCATTTACAATGACAATGATGACAGCATGAAAGGTATAATCAAAAATGAAGAACATGACAGTCATTCATATGCTGATTCATGGTCAAAAACAAGGCGGGCTACGCCCCCAATGACGTCAAACACGTCGGCGTTTCAATTCCCCCCCAATTTTCTACTTCGTAACAACTGCCTCCGGTACAACGTGGGGTTGATAAGATAAGCAGCCAAAATCTCCCAACCTTCAATATCCGGGGGAGGAAAAGCACTCAGTCCATCCAACAAGCAGCGCAGGCCCTGCAATCCCACGCCGTCACCCGTAATCCTCCCACGCGAGTCGTCTCTAGCTGGCTGGCAGGCAAAATGGCGCCAATCCCAATCACCATCATTACCGGGTTCCTCGGCTCCGGTAAAACCACCCTCATCCTCAACCTCATGCCACAGCTTCGCGCCAAGAACCCAGTCTACAAGCTAGCCCTCCTCAAGAACGAATTCGGCGACGTCGCCGTCGATTCGCAACTCGCCTCGTCCTCGGCCATATCGGGCGTACAAGAGATGCTCAACGGGTGTATATGCTGCAACCTCGTGGGCCAGCTGGGTCCCGCGCTGGAAGAACTCGCGCGGACAGTTACGCCTGACCGCATAGTCATCGAGACCAGTGGCTCAGCGTTCCCCGCGACGCTGGCGCTGGAAGTGAACCGTCTGGCGAGGGATACGGGGAGGTACGAACTGGACGGCGTGATAAGCGTCATCGATGTAGAGAATTGGCAGGGGTACGAAGATACAAGCTACACGGCCAAGATTCAGGCGCGGTACACAGACCTGATTGTGTTTAACAAGTGGGAGGCGGCGGGGGAGGATAGATATGAGGAGTGTGTGGACAGGGTGGGCGATTTGGAGGTTGACGTGGCGAGGGTGAAGAGCGACAAGGGGTGGGTTGACGTGAATCTCGTGTTTGGTGTGGATGGCGGGCTGGCGAGGGATTTGACCGACGAGGAGGTCGACGGAGTACAGCACAGCCATGAGCACGGCGACGGCCACAAGCACGGCGGGACCAATGGCCATTCCCACAGCCACCAGAACGAAGTTGAAGTGCTGTCGATTGAACTCGAGGCCCCCTCGGCAGCGATATCCACCTCCAAGCTCCAAACGCTCCTGCAGACCGCCCCAAAAGACGAGGTGTACCGCATCAAGGCCATCGCCACGCTCTCATCGACCCCAAAGAACTCGGATGCCGATGTGCCCCCGCCCGAAGGCCGTCCTGGCGGCCGGTACATTCTCAACTGGGCGTTTGGTCGATGGACGTTTACGCCCATGGGGGAAGGGCAGCAGGAGCACCAGTCCAGCAACGACGTGGCGTTGCGAATGACAGTCATTCTTGCACGGTACGAGAGCAACAGATGGAAGAAGAAGTTGGAGGCTGGTGGATATCTGGAGGCCGAGGGCGTGAATAAGGGCGAGCTGAGCGTCAAGCGGATCTTGTAGACTAGATGATAGATGTGATGATAGATTATGACTGGACTAGAGTCATAAACTGCATAGAAACGCCAATTTATACGCGAATAGATATGATTACGACTCTGCATTTACGCGTCTGTTTATTATTCCAAGCTGAAAGCACTTCATCATCTTGTTTTCCACTGAAAAAAAAAAAGGACGAAACAAAACAAAACGAAACGAAACACAAAAGGCAAAGAGCCTCGTAACATGATAGTTTTGCCCACCATATATCACCAATATACTACATTATAACGACGACATGCTTTCCCTACACCGAACCACAGTGCTTCCAGGTCAAATTTCTTTGATTGGCTCTCAATTCCACTCCCAATTAAATGTCTTGAAGCCAGGCTTAAATTTTCCTTGTTTTACTTGCCAGCCGGCAACGTCCCTTTCCTCCTGACTTAGTGTTATGGATGTTATTGACACCGTTGTCGTCCGGTCAGCATCACATTCCTCGTGTCCAACACATTTCCGAAGACATTTTCTATCACTCGGAACACATCTCTTCTCGTGCTTAAAAGGTTCCATCGGATGTTTAGCACATCTGTTATGGTATATCAACCTACTCTTCCCGCTAACCATCGACATGTCTTCACCAAATGTCTGCATGGGCTGGGTCCCGGCTGCTGGTGCTCTACTCGAGCCTGGAGGCTCCGGAGACCCCTGTGGCGATGATCCCCCAGACATTGGTAAACTGTGTATGGTAATTATCTTTCGATCCGGGGGCCTCGTTTTAGATATCGGTTCGCTCTCCGCGGATGTCCTCGACGACGACGGCCAGCCGCCTCTCTGCTTGCCCCCCGAACTTCTGATGGCTCTGGGCGGCGGAGAATATCGCGCTTGAGACGCTGGCAAACCAGGCCTCTGGCTCGCCGCCGAAGGCGTTCTAATCACTTTATTCGACTTCTTAGCCGAGTTCCGCAAGCTCGAACTGCAGGTGGTAGTCGTGCTTGTGCGCTGCGACAGCCCCATATCGGACCTTAATTCATCGCCCTTGGTTGTTGTACTTCCGCTGTTGCTGTTCCTAGTGGGCCGAAGCGGCGCAGGCCGACACGATGCACTGTTGATACCCTCGGCAATTGTGATATCCGTAGCCGGCAGCGAGGCGAATTGGTCCATGTCGGCCAGGCTGTAGTAAGCCCCCGGTTTCCCGACTGACTTTGACATGGGACGCTGGCAATATCCTCCCGCAACACTATATGCGGACTCCCTACTCGGTCCTGTCGATGTGGGATCAGTACCAGATGGCGCCGTGTTGTAAACACTTTCAGTATAAGTTGCATGCCGCGCAAGTCCCCGACGGGGGGAGAAACTAGAATAGGGTCGGCCGAGACCTGATGCGATGCTTGCTCTCTCTGGTTCGTAAGACTCCCCTAGTGGTGCTCCATCATACCATGTATTCTCTCCGGAATAAGGGATATCATCTTCCCACATGGACTCTCTCTCCATGGCCGAGAGTACATCTGGGGGTTCACCTGTGTTGCTGTCATCACGATATCTACTCGACTCATGCCGCTTCATCAGCAAAATATTTACTCCGCCACGTTGCTCAGGTTCCACCTGTTCAGCAAACATCTCCTGATGCGATTGTTTTGTAGGTTCCATATTTGTGTCGTCGACGAGTACCATGACCGGGCTTGTGAGCTTGGGGGAGGATAGGCGATTGTGCGGAGTGTTGGAGTCCGGCCATGTTGGCTTGGAAGGCATTCTGATGTCATGATGAAGGAGAAAATCACGTTAACCTGCTCTTCTTTGAGAGATGTAAATGTAGCCTTGAAGGGGCTCTTTGTTTCATCATCGAATGAGGGAACAAGGAGGATAGAGATCAACCAAAGCGATCGATATGAATGGGTGTTATGATTTTTTTTATAAAAAAAAAAACTTCTTTTTCTTCTTTTTGTAAGCCGATTCTTTGTCATTGGTGTAAGTGAGCAGGTATGAGATGTGAAACCTGGTAACAAAGGATGCTTGTAGTGAATACCGTCAATTTTTAGTCTAACAAAGGGGGAATAGAATAATCGCTTTGCATCGTGTACAGGCGCTATGCTACATTACAAAGAACCAGAATAAAGAGCTGCAAATGCTGGGAGTATGCAACAAATGCGTTGGCGCAATTCGCAAATGATCTAAAGACTCACTGTGACCGTCATGTTGTTGCTAAGGACCATCAACGTGGGCGGCAGTTCGTTGCAGAGAAGTTCAACATCAGAAAGATACTGAATTGTAGACATTTCGTCGAGGCTAGTGCCTTCTGAAGGAATAGGCAGCGTTGTCATCAAGACACCCGTGTCTTTGGAATGCTGTTGCATGAGTTCGTTGAGAATCAAGTGCTGCGCTCGACTAGGCAAATCATTGAATGAGAGCGCAACGCCATGTCCCGAAGTGGCTGCTCCGCTATCTTCTTCGGTGTTCATTTTTGGTGCATGACCCGTGGATTGTTCGGAGTGTTCTGGGATAACAAGGTTGGCTGTGTCTTGACCATGCATAGAATATTGTGAGCCGTGTCTCGAGTGATGTCGTGAATGGGAACCCGAATGCGGTTGAGACGCTGGCTGAGATGCTGGCTGCTCTGCAAATGAAATTGTTCTTGCGCCTTCTTCGCCGCTGACTTTAGTATCAGGCAACGGACGACTCGAAAACTTGCCGAGCGAAGATTGTCTCGAAAAGACTGGCCGTTCAGCTCGTGACGTCGGAGTGTTTGACGCAGCCGGTGCGAAACTAATCTTGGAGCCTTCGCCTTCGGCGATAATCTTGGTTTCAGGCACTGGTCGACTAGAGAATCGAGCAGCAGATGACTGTCGCGAAAAGTTCGGTCTCGTCGGTGTAACAGTTCCATCTCGACTGCCATCCTTCAAGGGGCTCATGGAGCGTGATCGTCGAGAACCACCATGCGGAAATTTTGGGACTTGAAGAGGGTCCAAGATAGGAAAAGAGTCGGTCTTAACGCTCGTCTCTACCTGTGGTGGGCTCGCGCCGATTTCAGCAACTTTGGGGACATGCAATGTAACCGAGGATTCGGGATTGTCTGCCAGCGTCTGAGACGTATTCACAGTGCCATATGAGGGAACTTGAGTGCTCGACTCGATGGCTCTCAACCTTGGCCCTTGCCCAGACTTTGTTGACGACTGCTCCGTTGCAGCACCACTGTCCTGCGAAGATTGGAGCAATGGACGCCGTGTTGGATTTCCCATTTCATCTCCCGAGCCCCAAAAAGGGTCCCTAGAACCTACTTCGAATTCTTCATCGTCAATAGAACCCTCCACATCTGTATCAAATTCTGTGTCTGATTCGGGCTCATGCAGAACTTCTTCGTTGATATGGGTTGTGTGGATCCCCATGCTGACTCCGAGTTTAGAGAGCGTGGCGATGCCCGGCTTCCTAGGCATCTCTACAACTTCAGCCATACTCTGACGGCGTGCATTCCCCGGATCGTCGTGTGGATTATATGCACCAGATCGCCCACTCGTCGAATCCAAAAACTGGGCCAGCTGAGAAAGCTCTTCGCTCGAGGAAAGCTCTTCGGCCTGTCTGCGGAGTATCTGCAAGTCCTCCCACCATTCCTCATCCTTGAGGGCTTCGCCAACAATGATTTCGGCATCAATATCATTGGTTTTTCCGTTAACAATAAGCTCATACGTGTTGAGATGGCCAGAGGCCAAGTAGAAGACGAGGACCTGCGCATCAATTCGCAGTTTCTCCAAGAGAGCTTTGACTCTAGCACTCTCCTCCTCGACTTCATGCTCATACTCTACAAATACCAAAACACGTAGGGCAAATACTCTTCGCCAGGCTTGAACACTACGCAAAATATGTCCCACTTGTAAGATGAGGGTATCTGCCAAGGTTAGTCTGTACAAGACTTTCTCTTATTTTGAAAGATGATGGGAACTTACAAGTGTCAAAGTTCGTCGTAAGCACACTCTTGCCATCTGAAGAGAGTTCAGCAGACATTTGAATGGGCCACAGATCGATATACCTTTTGGAATTGGACCCATCATTTCGGGGCGTCTCCAGCTTATCAAATCCGTGGGCTATGGCAACGTTGAGTCTGTATTTTAATGCAAGATCCTCTAATATGATCATGTAATCGGTGGGAGATACCATGCCTTCGGTTCGAATAACGTCGGTAGGCAATGTCCCTTCAAGTAGTCTTGCAGACGTATCTCCGCGCCTACGCTTAGCGACCTTGCCTTGCGACTTTGACGGGCGTCTCATCTTGTCAGATGGAGATGCAGGCACATCCGGAATAGCCACCGCAGGGTTTGATTTCCGCAGGTCATCCATATTATAGAATCCCAAAACAGCAACATTTGGACGCATGCCACCAAGGCCGGCTGCCAGAACCAAGTTGCGTACCCCCCAGGTAATTGAAGGGGACATGGTAAGCTGGACAAAGGCCTTGATTCTTGAAAACTCGGAAATATATCGAGTCCAGGCATGTTGCTGCAATCGAGCCTCGTGCACGCCAGAGTTGAAATCGTCTGTTACGATGACATGGCCCAGAATGTAAAGAGACCCCTTCTTCATGGAATTGCAAAATTGAATTAACCGCGTCTGGCGCCGGGGGTTATTGATGAGAAGAATGATATGTGGTCGCCAAAACTTGATGTGTTCTGGCTTTAATCGCAGCAAGTACTTTCGTACTTGATGGTAGATGAGATTCTGGGACACATCGCCCCATCGCTTAGGCGGGCATAAGTAATGGATCAGTAGAAACACGAAAATGAGCACACAAATAGCAATTGCTGCATAGGTCTCATCAATGAAGAACATGGCGGCAGCAGACAGAAGACTACCAATGCAAGCCGTCTGCCAATTGAAGAACTTGAAACTAGGACGAAAGTTTGGGGCAGACCCAATTTTGAGAAGAAAGCAAGCAAGATTCATAACGAAAAAGGTCATCTGAAAGTCGTCAGCGCCAACCAACATGTCCAACGTGCCAACACTCACCTGATAACCCATGGAGATGAAGGTTGCAATCTGATTCAAATCCGCAAGAAGGGCAACCTGCGCAATGGCGTATGTGAGAAAAATAGCAAGGATAGGCTCATCGGCCTTCTTGGTCCCTCTGCCAAAGATGGACAGTCCGGGCAGTAGCTTGTCACGCGCCAATGCCTGGAACAATTTCGCAGAGCCTATGATGCCCATGAGGGCGGAGAAAAAGGTAACTGCACACTCCCCCGCGAGGACGATTGGCGCTGACAGGTTCGTCAGAGATATAATGTTGTCGTTTGCGAAGAAGGAGTCCCGGGAGATGGTGCAAGCCATGGAGAGAATCACAACAAAGTAGACAACAAAGGTTGTTAGCATGGCCCACAGTGTGCCTTTTGGTATGACCTTGCTTGGATTTTTCAAATCCCCAGACATGGACGCACCAGCAAAGATACCTGAAGTGGCGCTGGGAGAAGTTAGCATAGCGGTATGCACCTAGAAATGGATATGCGCGTACGGGAACAAAATACCAAACAAGTCTCGAAATGTTGGCAATCCCTGATAGACATGATTGTCAGAGCTCGGCAGAAGATTGTTGGCAAGAGTATTGAGACTGAGCCCCGTGTATACAATGCCAGCGTCTTCGTCTCGAAATGGGGCCTTGAGGATGGCAGACAATGGAACACTTAGCACAGCTACCGTCAATATAGCCAACAATAAATTAGACGCCTTTGAAAAGGTAGCTGATCCCAAAAGACACATGCAGGTGCATGTGACCAATGCTGCTGGCTGCAAGCCATATCCTGTCCAATATCCTTCTGGGAAGCTAGGTCCAACATTTAGACGAATGCAGTCAATCAAACCAACAATGTTCATGGCAGTGTTGAGAGCTTGGGCTAAGAAGAACAAGATTCCAATGGAACCTCCGAATTCGGGACCAAGCGATCTCGAGATCAGATAGTATGCTCCGCCGCCCTTGACCTCACCATTGGAAGCAATGGCTGACAGGGACAAGGTGGTTAAGAGATCAACACAATAGGCAGTGGCCAACAGTCCTAGGCTTGGTCAATAATTCTGGGTTGTAAGAAACAAAGAGAGGATGTTGGTATACCCAATATTCCCAGAAATCCGACCTGTCCCAGAATGAGGCCAAACCGCAAAAACATGAGAATGCTCATAATGTTCAGGCATACGGGAATGTACACGCCAGAAAGCAAGCCCAGCTTGGAGCTCTTCTTCGCATCCATGGCCAAAGCCAAAGGGTCACCCTTGTCGTCGGGCGTTGCAGGCATGGCGGGCTTGTATTTGGCAGCATGTGCTCGCAGGTCGTTGCCGGCCGGTGACGTCGAGACATCACAAGCTCTGCTTGATGCCAGCTCCTCAGCGGTCTGGCGATGGTTTGCCAACTCTTCTACGAAAAGAGGCAGCCGCGCCTTCTTGTCCCGGCGGGATGCTTCAATGTTGGCAAGTCAAATCGGGACTGGACTTGAACAAAAACTGGAGGCCATGAAAATGCGGAGATGTTGTCTGTCGCCGACTCACTGCTGATAGCCCGAGGTAGGCTCTCGTTCAGAGTGATTTCATCACGGTCGGAATTGCGAGGTCAACTAGGCTAGTCGTCGTGGTCGTTGCATGTGTGGTCCAGGGAGAGCGACGCCCGCCTACGTCAGACCCGCCGACGACCGCCAAGGCAGCCGCAACCGTGGCGGGCAACCATCCGGAATCATCAGC